TGCATACGTAGTAACGCCAAACCAACACATACATTATTGATTTGGAAACTATTATGGTATATATGTGCAGTACTAACCACGTTTCCTAATCCCTGAGGTTCTTCTAACATTATTATCTCTTAATCAATCAATTTAACAACTAATCTCTTTCTCTACTTCCATCTTCTGTCACTCCCTACATGTCCTTCTCTCCCTCCCTGTCAGCGTCCTACTGGAAGATATATGACCATCCTTGAACCCCTGTCCGTGCTGCCCGCCCCTCCCACCTCCACCCCAGCCCCTCTCTCTGCCTCCGTCCTCCGTGATGCCCCTCACTTCGTCGATATCGACCTCCATGATGACGACACCCCAACCCAGTCCTCAGTTCGAGTCTTCCTGTCACGTGTGTCTGGATTCTTGAGGAGAGTGTTCCGTGTCAAGATGGACGCTTAGAGTGACATCTTGCTACCTTTTGGACCGTGTGTCACATAATAATTAACCACCATGTGCGTTTGACATTTTTCGACATTTCGGCCCTTTTTTTATATTTTACCTTTCGGCCATTATTTGCTTTTGGATTTGTATCATAAAGAAACGTATATTTAGAAACGTATATTTTGAGTTGCATATTTTGGCCCTTTCGGACAAGGTTTTATCTTTCATTATGTGATCATTAAAGCGATCACCACCTATTAAATACTGTCTTTCTAGCTCCTTTGTTTTATCTTTTGTTACATAACACACGACTTTTGTTTCTTATCAGACGCCTTGACAAATAATACAGCAGCGCGTTCCGTGCTGAGATTACACATAACGTTTATATCATCATCTATATGGACCATTGAGACTCATCACTGGGAGATAGCTATGGGTTCCAGCCCATTTCTTTGCATCTGTCTCAACATGTTTGATAGAGAGTTAGTTCCACCTACAATATTCTGTCTTTTAACATAGCCTTACCAAACTTGTAGCACTAAGATGAATATGTGCATACAGTCCCTGAAGCCTGTTTGCTACACCACAAGCGAAGATCAATTCGAAATCTTGTGGCCCTCAGTCAGTCAAAGATTAGTTCTGTCCTGGTACTGCTGGAAAATGGATTATGATCAAACCGAAACGACAGTCGTGATTTTCAAGTTGCACAACCGAGTGAGTGAGTTGAGTTCAATACATCTTTAAACAGTGTTACGAGTCGATTTCCAAATTGAAACAATACGGTAATCCAGAAATTTGTACCAATAACTATTTAGTGTGAAGCACCAAAGAAACAACAAATGGCATACATTCAACAATTGTATTCCAAAATTAACTTGGCTTACAAATCAATACAAATTACTGCACGGCAATTACAATGGCAGTACACAATAGATTGGTAGTACAATATTCAATGGCAGTATAAAATGTGAGAGCAATGCAAATGACAATGACAAGAATAATTATCACCTCGCCGCAACAGTGGCCAAGCTTCCGAGATAGGCCTGGGCTGAACATCAGGGTGAAAAGTGATCTTCACACGAAAGCTGGTCTTGATGTGATGTCAGATGAAATGTGATCTTCACACGAAAGCTGGTCTTGATGTGATGTCAGATGAAATGAGAGATGAAACAGGCACGTACCCGCTCCACTTATATCGTCTAACTAGCTTCCATCACTTTCCACACAGTGTTAGACCAGTCCAGTGTCATTAGAGTGAGTGAGTGAGTGAGTTTATGCTTTGCGTCACATTGGCAATATTTCAGCCATATCGTGACGAGTGTCATTAGAACATCACAGAATAGTCTATGTTTCTATTACGCTTACACATCACTCTAGCGTCTAAATATAGTAACTTTCTCTCCACTGCTATCATTAAATGGTACTTCATTCCTGACAACTAATCATTGTCTAAATACAATGCAATGAACTCCAGAATCTCAACAGAAACAATTAATACAGTTACAATCATTTATTAGCACTGTTTACACTGCCAAATAACAAAAATATATACTGCGTGTCGGATTAATGTAACAGGAAAATGACACAGGCCTGCACGTTTGCCAATATGGGGAACTCACAATCATTGGTATGGTGCTGACAGAACAAGAGTGAAATTTAGATTCGAACCCAGGATGGTCGGGACCTGACACGGCGCAACTGCACAGCTACCAAACACCCCCTTGGTCACTCATGCCCTGTTGCATCACCGACATGTAATGCCCATTTTTTCTTCAACAGAGAATACTTAGTCACTATGATGCACGCATAAAACTGCTGCCTAGTTGTGTACTTTGTTTCAAATGTATCTGTAAGCATATAAGTATTGTTCTTGATATTTGTTAAGGGTGTATTACACATCGTTCGTAGTTGGGTTCAGAACAATCAGCCACCCCCTTAGGTTGCTTAGGAGCATAAGTAAGGGGTAAGTACATCTTCCCGAGGCAAAACCGTTAACTGACTTTAAAAGTCCAGTTTCCACCCTTGCCGAACAAGCCCGACATTACTGGGCTCGATCGTAGCGCCACCAGTGGCTATTACCAGTTATGTCCCTTCTAAGCCTCTCCTAAGACCAATCAGATTCCACCTCTCGTATCACTTGCGTTTGCTTCACACAAAATGGTTGCGCCCGGTCAGGACGATCTGATCGATAATCAAGATCTATATTGTGATAAAACGGGTCTTACATCGCGAAATGCATCAAATCACGTGTGCACCTTGATTAAAAACATGAGAAGATTTGGAAAATATCTGCTGACGAGTTGGTGGTGCACATGCTTTGCAAATCCTGCAATCGACCGAAATCTGCTTGACAGTTTACGAACCGGATTTCAATTTCGGTGCGCGATTTTGATTGGACTATGCATAGACTCGTTAGTCCAGCCAAAATTAACTCCACAATACCAGCCTAGTTCGGCAAGGGTGGAAACTGGACTTTTATAGTCAGTTAACTCTCTTGCCTCGGGAAGTATAGGTTAATAAGTGTGGAAAACAACGCCTAACAAATGCACTTTTTATATCAGACAAGCATTTAGTTATACTGTAGCAATAGTCAGTGTCAGTGTCTGTACATGTGCTATCTACTCAAGATTGTGTCACAGTAAAGTTATTCATAATTTCCGTCTGTTCACACGTAGCCCTCCTCTCGCTATGTACCAGTGAGTAACCTTCGTCATCAGCTGATGTGTATCGCGCCTGTTATAAACACGTACCAGTGAAATGTAATAAAATCCTACAGTGAAAGCTAAACTTGTGTGTGCTTCTTCATAGCTTTGTTCAAACAGCTTAGGTGTAAATCACTTGTATGAGTGAGTGAATTGGGTCGAACGCCGCATTTGCCAGTCTCTCCGTTTGACAGCTTTGTATGGGAGCAAGTCCTGAAGTGATGCAGGTCTTCGATGTTAAGAACTTTAGTGAAACCCACGAGCACGGGTATGGTGCTGACAAACCAAGAATCATACTCAGAGCGAATCCAGGATTCGAACCTATAGTCGTGGGATGCCGGCAAGCCATAGGTTCTCTTGGAAGAATTTTCCAGCATGCAAAGCAAAACCTCTGGACAAATTCATTTCTTCTGTCATTGTTTGGAACGACCGCCTCCGTCAGTGGTCTAGTGGTAGAGCGTCCGCCCGGAGAGCGCAAGGTCCGGGGTTCGATCCCCGGCCGCGTCATACCAAAAGACGTTAAAAGATGGTACTTGTTGTTACCCTGCCTGGCGCTCGGCATTAAGGGGCTAAAACAAGAACTGGTCGGCTCCGAGTCAGTATACTGTGTCGGAGTGGGGTATTCATGTTAAACTGCGGCATGGTATCTCAGTGGGCTAGCACTATAACTCGCCATCAGTCCGGAATAGTACAGGCAGCCACACAAACACACACACGTACATGCACGTCGCTTTATAAGTGCAATAATCTTGGACGGGACGTTAACCCCAATTTTACCTCACCTCACACTGTTGGGAACGCAACAGATTTTCATTTTAACCTCATATTTATTCACCACTGCTTCGTTTTGAGCCGGATTCGAATGACCGGATGTTAAAAAATTAGCCGTCCAATCGAATTACACTCATGAGCGAGTAAGAGACTGCAAAGCATCAAAATATCGCCGCAAATAGACATCAGTATATAATATATTATATGGTGCTAAAAAAACGTTTGGAAAAGCAAACAGATTGAAACAGTCCCTTAATTTTGGATCACACTGTTCTCAAAATGTACCATTTCAGTTGTCTTGTTTGACCAGAGTTTCACAACTTCACAATTCACCTAATTTCCACGTGAGTCGACTTGCTTGGGAAAAGCAAAAGATGAAAGCTTAACAAATCCGGATTAACAAAGATCTCTTTACTTATTTTGTTTGTTTGTTGTTTAACGCCGCACGAAGTTATATTCCAGCTACATTGTATATGGTTGCGGTCTGGACCACACAATCAAGTGATTGACATCGTGAGCATCGATCTACGATGACAAGCATCAATCAAGTCAGCGAGCCTGACCACCCGAACCCGTTAGTCGCCTCATACGACAAGCATATATAGTCCTCTTACGACAATAGAAGCGTGGATTGCTGAGACGTATTCTAACCCGGAACTATAAAGATAAACACTCTACTCAGGTAGTGTATATCCTTAAAATATAAAAGATATTAGGCTTCAGTAAAAAACGCAGCAATGCACAGTCTCTTTAGCTGTGGTGCCATATTCAAAGACAAACTCGTCGATGGCCTCAAAATATCTAGATTCAGTTTGGAGAAACGTTGGAAACGTAAGGAGTATTTTATCAGAAATTAATAGCCACGTTTTCATTTGAGGTTCACTAAATTCCACTGGTAAATGCTGACTGGTCTCTTGCCTCCTTAGGCGCGTAAAGGCGCATGAGCGAACTGTGAAACCAGTTTAAGGTCTTTGGTCATCATATTTTTTAGTGGTACTCCAAAATAGCGAATATATCGGGATAACCTCCCTTCGAAATTGACGCTATCTATTACCCCAACAACAATGATTCTTCACAGACAGGTCATATTGACAGTATTAACTTATTTCAAAGTTTGGTGGCAACAGAAGAACCAGAGCAGCCCACTGATCAGGTGACCTCTCCCTCTCGGTCCACTCTTTGTGTGGCAAAAATGCTTTTTATTTATTTTACCACAGTGACACTGATCTTGATACTTCACAAGAATCGAAATGTCGAATGTGAGTAAGCATATATGCAGGTCGTGTGGCTTTATACCTGTATGGTGTTGTTATGGTAACTAGGTATTCGTCACCTCAACTGATACTCGTAAATTACGCCTCATGCGGTCCATTCAGCACTAGCTCATGCAGGTAACGACTTGGTAACAGCTGGGAGTTTCTCATACTTAGCCCTTTGATCCTCTTTCCTTGGAAGTGAGCACCCCTATCAAACACCCCCTTACCATAGGGTCATGTCTTGACTGGGGTACCGCCTTCGTGGTCTAGTGGTAGAGTGTCCGCGCGGAGAGCGGAAGGTCGGGGGTTCGATATCCGGCAGCGTCATACCAATAGACATTAAAAGATGGTACTTGTTGTTTGCCTGTCTGGTGCAGTGAGGGACTGGACTTCTTACATAACTACACAGACATGTTTATGAGACTATTTTCTCCCTTCTTTCCACAGTAACATCGGGGGCACGGGTGGCCCAGTCATGTAGGGCGCTGCAATTCGCTGTGCAGAGTTGCGTCCTTTGGGCAAGCCAGAAACCTATGATTGTGGGTTCGAATCCCGGTTTGCCCCGATTATGTTTCTAGGTTTGTCAGCACCATACCCGTGCTCGTGGGTTTCACCGAAATGGTAAACGCCTGAGACCTGCATCACTTCGGGCTTTCCTCCCACATTAAGCTGACACTTAAACCCAACTCACTCACTCACACCACAGTAAGATCAGTAACTCTGATTCAAAATGATTAAATCTAACTGTCCCACCTTTTTGTCACTAGATGTTCATATGCATACATGACACTTTTGTATGGATAACAACTTCTTTATCAAGAGGTTATTTAAGGATGTCAGCTTCTATATTATGAGGAACACAACATTTTGAAGTATGTGCTTTCTCCTTCTTTCCAGATAATGAAGAGCCTGAAATGTCATGAAATCATACAATAGATTCCAGTGTTAAGACCACAAGCCACTGCCCATCTGGTGCAATATATCAATCCTAAAAGAATGCCAAGTCAAAAAACTATAAAGCATACATCTAGCCCTAAAAATGAAACTTGTAGTGATGAAGCTAGAATACCAAGTCCAGAAACTGAAAAGCCTATTGAGAAAAAGTGCAGGAGAAGAATGTCGGTGGAAAATAGAGAGAAAATCAAGGCACTTCTCCACGATGGTACATCTCGAAGGCAGATTTCCAAAATCATGAATGTTGCTCCCTCAGTTATTTCAAGGTTTGCAATACGACTGAAAGAAACGGGTGGAATTGAAGACCGACACAAGATAGGGCGACCTAAGAAATATCATGACCCTACAGAACATTGGACTGACATAGGAGGCGAACGCAAGTATCAGTGCAAACATTGTCAAAAAACTTTTGTACACTTTGTACAAATTCAGGAACATATTCGTGTGCACACAGGAGAGAAGCCATTCAAATGTGACCAGTGTTTCAGGGGGTTTGCCAGATCAAGCACTCTGAAACGCCACCTCATCTGTCACTCCAATGAGAGACTTTACATGTGTGACTTTTGTGCTAAGTGTTTTGCAGAAGCTTCATCACTAAGGGTTCATGTCCGCACCCACACTGGAGAAAAGCCGTACAGATGTCGATTCTGTGACAAAGGCTGCACGACTGGGGGGAACCTCAATGCCCACATGAGGGTACATCGAGATAAAATCAACAAACAGAGAGGGATACGTATCAAGAAGCCTGAAGAGACCATTATTCGAAGAAAAATCATTGAAAATAAGGAGACACGAATCAAAGAGGCTGAGGAAAATATGACTCATATCGATATTTCTGAAATGATTGAAAAGGCAATAAGACAGGAAGAGCAAGAAAAAAAAGGTCATGTCACCAAGGAAGAAGATGTGAACACTGGAGAAGAAAGAAGAGACGATGCAGAAGATTGTCATGGCAGTGCCGAGGTTCAGAGAGAAAGGAATAGCTGTGAACGCAAAATGGTGGATACTTGTGCAGAGAACACGCAACAGGAGAGTTATCCTGAAGATGTGTACCAAGTTGAAATAAAACAGGAACCAGAAAATACGATGGAGGAATGTAAATAGTTTATTTGCATCTTCCCGAGGCAAGCGAGTTAACTGACTATAAAAGTGCAGTTTCCACCCTTGCCGAACTAGGCTGGAATTCCTTGGCTTGATCGTAGCCCCACCAGTGGCTATTACGAGTAATTTCCTTTCTATGCCTCTCCTATGGACCAATCAGATTCCACCTCTCGTATCGCTTGCATTTGCTTCAAACAAAACGGTGGCTCCCAGTCAAGACGATCAGATCGATAATCAAGATCTAAATATTGTGATAAAACGAGTCTTACATTGCGAAGTGCATCAAATCACGTGAGCACCTTGATTAAACACATGAAAAGATTTAGAAAATATCTGTTGACAATGAGTTAGCGGTGCACATGCTTTGCAAATCCTGCAATCCACCGAAATCTGCATGACAGTTTACGAACCGGATTTCAATTTCGGAGCGCAATTTTGATTGGACTATGCATAGACTCGTTAGTCCAGCCAAAAGGTAACTTCATAATACCAGCCTTGTTCGGCAAGGGTGGAAACTGGACTTTCATAGTCAGTTCACTCACTTGCCTCAGGAAGATGGTTTAGTTGATATTTCAGTGTAAAGCAGTATCACTCAGATGGAACAAATATTAACCAAATGCATGTTGGACCAAACAATGAAGCTATCATCACCTGTCAATCAAACAACATGATTGTCACATTGTTTCAAGAGACAGTTTGAGAGTTTCAAGTGACACAGAGTCCACAGTTTTGCCCCACAACTTTAAATCTATGACTGTATTTATAACAATCGGTGTTACGTCAACTTTCATGAATGTTTTTCTGTACAGTACAATGGTTATATACATCTAAAACATTATTTCATATTTCATATTTTAAAATGTTCACTCTTTGGGGGAAAAACCCAATAGAGTTATGAATAGATGAGTGAAAACATATTGGTTGCCCATGAAAAATGTAATAACCCAATTAAAATAGAAACCCTAGACTAAAAACTCCAATGCTCAAAAGGTTATCTCGATCTCAGTATTGTTGTTTATTTTAATTTCATAACAAATTCTATCCATTTTAGCTATATTGACGGTAACACTATTTTTCAGGGCATTATTATTTGCAGAAGCCCTCGGTCCACAGTTATTGGAAGACCTTGGGCTTCTGCAAATGATAATGCCCTGAAAAATAGCGTTACCCTCTGTCTTTTCAACTGCCCTCCTTCGTCAGGGAGTTAATGGAAGACCTCGGGCTTCTGCAAATGATAATTCCCTGAAAAATAGCGTTACCCTTATTTTATTGATACACGTAATGATGGGTAAAATGTGTCCAACATGGTCGGTCACACTGTGGACCACATCATTATCTCTGGCAACGTAACATGTTAAGTATACAGTTGAAACAGACATATACGCAGATGACTAATTCTCACCTGAAAGTTGGGAAGAGTAATAAAGAATGTTAAGTGTGTAAATGGTACACAAAGCATTGTGGTGCAGTATTATTGTTGAAGAAAGCGCTTGATCTCACCCAAGCAATGTCTCTAGTTTTGGGTGATACATTTTCTTTCATCCTTGTTTGTTCATGATGTTAGCTGGATCCAGTGTTATCATGGTTATTAGCTTGGTGAGAGGGACAGTAGAAATAAGCTGTTGTCTTCAACTATATTTATTGTTCAACAAAAAAAATCAAGGACCTACCTCATGTGAGACAGCTGGCCATGAATGAGATGCTGACTCCCTTGTCTTGTATGTATAGACATACATAACGAGTCATTGAAATAAATGTGTGAACCTACATTCTTAATCATGTTAAATGTGTTGAGTGTATAAACAAAGAAATGAAAGAATGACATGATGATTATCAAGTAGTATCAAACTTAAAATGTCTCAAGCAGACTACACACAGCAGGCTGATTCAAACAGACTGAAGACCCCTGCATCAAACAGGCTGCCGACCCCCTGCGAGAAACTGGCTGCAGATACCCTGCGTCAAACAGGCTGCTGACCCCCTGCGTCAAACAGGCTGCTGACCCCCAGCGTCAAACAGGCTGCAAATCCCTGTTTCAAACAGGCTGCAGACCTCAGTGTCAAACAAACTGCATACCCCTGCTTCAAACAGCCTACAGACACCCCGAGTCAAACAGCCTGCCGACCCCCTGCTTCAAACAGGCTTCAAGGAGACAATACACGGATGGCTGCTTCAGACAGACTGCAGACCCCCTGCTTCAAACAAATTGCAGAACCCTGCTTCAAACAGGCTTCAAGCAGACTATACACTGATGGCTGCAAGCTTCAAGCAGACTACACACTAATGACTCTGTTTTAAGTAGCCTGGTTAAGTCAGTATGGCCACACACATTGGTCAAAATGGCCTCAAAAGAAGTCTAAATGGCCACAGACCCCTAGTCAAAATGACCACATAAAAAATGCCCAAATGGGCGCATTCTTAATGTATAAACAGAGACCTATACACAAAGAAAAAAGTTAAGCACATCCCTATTTCTGAACCATGACAAATGGCAAAAATCATGGCATGGGATGACTGACCACAGGAGTTGGGCGATACCAATGTCATCGGATAGAACGAACATTTGACAACAAATAAAGAAGATATTGGTGAGTTGTGATTGATATTTGCTAACAAAAACATCATGGTAACACAGATACTGTTTTTGACCTTAGACAATACCTAAAAAAAGTATGGAGCTGCAGGATTAAGTAAACGAGTTACGTTTGATGTTTCATGTGAAAATGTTCCTTAAAGTCTCTACTTGACATGACACGTGAAACAGATCAGAAGCGGGTATAACGGCCACGTGCCCGGATGACACATTCCACCCTACGTCTCATGCCTCCAGTCAGACGTTGGATCTGTTGATGGCGTAAATCTTGTACAGGAGGATCTCTTGCCTGTATGCGCCGCCCCAGAATATCCCAACATGTTCAAAGGGGTTCAGATCTGTGCTCATTGCTGGCCAGGGTAGAGTTGTTATTGCATTGGCCCTCATGTAATCCGCGACTGCATGCGAACGCTGAGGCCTGGCATTGTCATCCATGTCCTGAGGTCGAGTAGCAAGAAGGTGGTTGTCAACGGCGACTGGCCTCAAAACGTACCGGATGTTTTGAGCGCCTGTTAAGTTGCCCCTTATGGTGACCAAATCCTGCCTGCAATCATGAGTGAAACACCCCCAAACCATTACCGAGCCCCCGCCGTATGCAACAGTCGTGTTCCGGTGCCCTCGTTCTTCCATCAGTGACCTGGAGCAGACAGCGACTTTCGTCTGACCAATGGATCCGTTCTCAGATTCCAGTTCTGTCGCGTAATACACCATGCTAAACGAGCACCTTTGTGGTGATCTGTCAACAAGGGACGCTTTATGACTCGCCTTGCCCGCAGTCCTGCTGCTTTCAGTCGGTTCCTGGCGGTTCTGGTGCTGAAACGACAATTGGGCAACCATAGCTGTTTCAGACAAGTACTAGTTAAAAAGTGTTCTCGGCGTATGAGACGAAGAAGGTCTCTGGTATAAATAAACATTTCACACACAGACACTTTGACACAATCTTTGGAAACGTGGATGGATTGGGGTTTTTTATCAGACACTAGGTTGCATCTTTCTTGTGGGATTCGTTAGGGGACGGGTTTTTTTCTTTATTATTGTGGGTGGTTGTGGTCTTTCTTTCTCTTGTACATTTCTTTTCTTACCCTTCCAAATACTAGTGTTTTATTTTTTTATTATGACCCTCCCCTTGTGACTATAATATTTATTTAGTGACCCTCCCGTTTTTCCCTCTGACCCTCCCCTATTATAAATGACCGGTCCCTAACTACCTCAGCCTGAAATCCACAAGTAAATATTGACAGGGCGCCTGTCTACCAAAACGTGTAAAATCGTTAAATGTGCAGCGCGAACGTGTAAAATCGCGAGAAATTATCGAAGCGTACGTAAACATTATTTTAGTGGTATCCAAACTGTAGAACATTTCTGGATAACCTCCCTTATGCCTCTTTTTCCAGATCGGTGAATTTTCTCAGACATCCTATGTGGTGCACAGGCATTATACCCGACAAATAACGCCTTGAATTAAATACTTTCGTAAGTAAGTGTAATTCTTAGTTGATGAATATACTATATGTTTGTTGCAACGTGACCCCGACGGATATCACTGACGAGGTTACGACGCACCATTATCAGCTGATTATGTTTATCAGTGTTCATGGTAGCCTACTTCTTTTTTCGAAGGTGATGACCAATTTCCGATGTTTATGAATATTGCTTTGATATTCAAGTTCGATGTTTAATTTATTAAACCAAAGAAATGCAATCGTAGTCATTTGTTCTGCGTATTTTGGGCTTTATCGCCCCAGTTTGCAAATAGTAACGAAGTCGCGTCAGCGTGTGGCACAATTATAAACGAACATGGCGGACAGCACTCGCCTACCCAGAGTTCCATGCCACCAGCACAGAACCACTGCCGGAGTGTGGGCGGACAGGTGCCTGCAGTGTACCGGTACCTGCTTTGGCATTATTGCTAATAAATACGTATGTGTATCGTCTATGTAGTGTTTGCTTTAAGGCAACCACATTGTTGGATATGTATCAAAATATGCCCAAAAATAAAGGTGAAAAAAGTTGTAGTGACATCACATATCATGTTTATCCAAAGAGATATAGATACGTCTTTGGTTTATCAAATGTACGTAATGAAGTCATTGTGATTATATGACCGCCTTTATGAATGTGAAACATCCTCAAATACATTTAAAGTAATGTTCAACTTAGCAACTTTATGTAACCAGTCCTTCAAAAGCCCAATATTAAATACAATTTTGAAAAACTGCTAGAATAAAGAAACAGATACCTTCTTCTGTATTTGTAAGGAATGTGCACGAGCTGCAGGGTTAGAACTAAACTCAAAAGCTTCACTAGCCCTGGTAAAGATAAAATGAGTTTGTTATGTTAAAACAATGGGGAAATTTGGAAATTTGTACTAGCCTGAATGAATTTGTACTAGCCTCGGGCTAGCGGGCTAGTGTTAATTTCTAACCCTGAGCTGCTTCCTCAGTAACATTTTCTCATTTTTGTCCCCACCATATTTTGCTGTATACATGCATTACATCACGAACACAACTTAAACTAAATGCTTTACTTAAGTTATCTTTAGTTAAGATTATTTTTTATACTTATTATGTAAGAAACATTGTTTACTAAATAACAAGATTCAGTCATTTAACAGGGTTTTAGTATGTCTGCCGGTCACTATTCAGTGTGTCTACCTTTTGCTAAGCGTAAGATCAGTAATTTTGATTCAAAATGATTAAATCTAACTGTTCAACCTTTTTGTCACTAGATGTTCATATGCATACATGACACTTTTTTTATAGATAACTTCTTTATTAAGAGAGTGTTTAAGGATGTCTATATTATGAGGAACACAACATTTTGAAGTATATGCTTTCTCCTTTCCAGATAATGAAGAACTGATGGTGAAACCAAAGACTGAAATGCCATGAAATCATACAATAAGTTCCAGTGTTAAGACCACAAGCCATAGTCAGTCTGCTACAATATATCAACCCTTAAAGAATGCCAAGTCATAAAACTGTGAAACATACATCTAGTCCTAAAAATGAAACTTGTAGAGATGAAACTAGAACACCAAGTCCGGAAACTGATGAGCCTATTGAGAAAAAGCATTTGAAAAGACTGTCGATAGAAAAAAGAGAGAAAGTCAAGGCACTTCTCCAAGATGGTACATCTCGAAGGCAGATTTCCAAAATCATGAATGTTGCTCCCTCAACTATTTCAAGGTTTGCAATACGACTGAAAGAAACGGGTGGAATAAAAGACCGACACAAGACAGGGCGACCTAAGAAATATCATGACCCTACAGAACATTGGACTGACATAGGAGGTGAACGCAAGTATCAGTGCAAACATTGTCAAAAAGCTTTTGAACACTTTGTACAAATTCAGGAACATATTCGTGTGCACACAGGAGAGAAGCCATTCAAATGTGACCAGTGTTTTAGGGGGTTTGCCAGATCAGGCACTCTGAAACGCCACCTCATCTGTCATTCCAATGAGAGACTTTACATGTGTGACTTTTGTGCTAAGTGTTTCGCAGAAGCTTCATCACTAAAGGTTCATGTCCGCACCCACACTGGAGAAAAGCCGTACAGATGTCGATTCTGTGACAAAGGCTGCACGTCTGCGGGGAATCTCAATGCCCACATGAGGGTACATCGAGATAAAATCAACGGAAGGAGTGGGATACGTATCAAGAAGTCTGAAGAGACCATTAATCAAAGTACAATCCTTGAAGAGAATGTAACTCGTATCAAAGAGGCTGAGGAAAATATGGCTCATATCGATATTTCTGAAAAGATTGAAAAGGCAAAAAGACAGGAAGAGCAAGAAAAAAAAGGTCATGTCACCAAGGAAGAAGATGTGAACACTGGAGAAGAAAGAAGAGACGATGAAGAAGATTGTCATGGCAGTGCCGAGGTTCAGAGAGACATGAATAGCTGTGAACGCAAAATGGTGGATACTTGTGCAGAGAACACGCAACAGGAGAGTTATCCTGGAGATGTGTACCAAGTTGAAATAAAACAGGAACCAGAAGATACGATGGAGGAATGTCAATAGTTGAAGGGTCACAGACATAAAGTTTATTTGATGATATAACAGTGTAAGAGTAAAAACGCAATTGCTCAAAAATTTATCAGGAGCTCTGTATTGTTGTTTATTTTTATTTGATATAAAATTCTTTCCATTTTAGCTATATTGACGGTAACACCATTTTTCAGGGCATTATTATTTGCAGAAGCCCTCGGTCCACAGTTAGTGGAAGACTCTGGGCTTCTGCAAATGATAATGCCCTGAAAAATAGCATTACCCTTATTTTATTGATACACGTAATGATGGGTAAAATGTGTCTGTCATGGTCGCTCACACTGTGGAACACATTAATATCTCTGGCAACGCAACATGTTAAGTGTACAGTTGAAACAGACATATATGCAGATGACTAATTCTCACCTGAGAGTTGGGAACAGTAATAAAGAATGTTAAGTGTGTAAATGGTACAGCTGACCAGCTTCAGTGGCAGAAAGATTAGTTATGTCATTTGATAATGACGTCATGGTAACCAGTGACGGTCTGCAAAGCATTGTAGTGCAATATTATTTGTAGAAGATAGCGCTTGATCTTGCCCAAGCAATATCTCTAGTTTTTGGTGATACATTTTCTTTCATCCTTGTTTGTTCATGATGTTAGCTGGATCCAGTGTTTGTAGCTTGGTGAGAGAGACAGTAGAAATAAGCTGTTGTCTTCAACTATATTTATTGTTCAACAAAAATAATCAAGGACCTACCTCATGAGAGACAGCTGGCCATGAATGAGATGCTGACTCCCTTGTCTTGTATGTATAGACATACATAACGAGTCATTGAAATAAATGTGTGAACCTACATTCTTAATCATGTTAAATGTGTTGAGTGTATAAACAAAGAAATGAAAGAATGACATGATTATTGAGTAGCATCAAACTTAAAATGTCTCAAGCAGACAACACAGGCTGCAGACCTCCTGCTTCAAACAGGCTTCAAGCTAACTATACACTGATGGCTGCAAGCTTGAAGCAGACTACACACTGCAGACTGCTTCAAACAGACTGCAGACCCCTGCATCAAACAGCCTGCAGACCCCCTGCTTCAAACAGCCTGCAGACCCCCTGCTTCAAGCAAACTATACACTGATGGCTGCAAGCTTGAAGCAGACTACACACTGCAGACTGCTTCAAACAGACTGCAGACCCCTGCATCAAACAGCCTGCAGACCCCTGCTTCAAACAGAGTTCAAGTAGGCTACACACTGCAGACTGCTTCAAACAGACTGCAGACCCCTGCATCAAACAGCCTGCAGACCCCCTGCTTCAAACAGCCTCAGACCCCCTGCTTCAAGCAAACTATACACTGATGGCTGCAAGCTTCAAGCAGACTAGACACTAATGACTGTTTCAAGTAGCCTGGTTAAGGGTTAAAGTCAATATGGCCACACACATTGGTCAAACTGGCCTCAAAAGAAGTCAAAATATCCACAGACCCCTAGTCCAAATGACCACATAAAAAAATCCCAAATGGCCACATTCTTAATGTATAAACAGACCTATTTTATGGTCTCTGGTATAAATAAACATTTCACACGCAGACACTTTGACACAATCATTGGAAACGTGGATGGATTGGTTGTTTTTTTATCAGACACTAGGTTGCATCTTTCTTGTGGGATTCGTTGGGGGACGGGTTTTTTCTTTATTATTGTGGGTGGTTGTGGTCTTTCTTTCTCTTGTACATTTCTTTTCTTACCCTTCCAAATACTCGTGTTTTATTTTTTTTAATATGACCTTCCCCTTGTGACTATAATATTTATTTGGTGACCCTCCCGTTTTTCCCTCTGACCCACTCCTATCATAAATGACCGATCCCTAACTACCTCAGCCTGAAATGCACAAGTAAATATTGACAGGGCGCCTGTCTACCATAACGTGTATAATCGTTAAATGTGCAGCGCGAACGTGTAAAATCGCGAGAAATTATCGAAGCGTACGTAAACATTATTTTAGTGGTATCCAAACTGTAGAACATTCCTGGATAACCCCCCTTATGCCATTTTCCAGATCGGTAAATGTTCTGACACCCAATGTGGTGCACAGGCATTATACCCCACAAATAACGCCTTCAATTAAATACTTTCGTAAGTAAATGTAATTCTTAGTTGACGAATATACTACATGTTTGTTGCAACGTGGCCACGACGGATGTCACTGCCGAGGTTACCACGCACCATTATCAGCTGATTATGTTTATCAGTGTTTATGGTACGTCTATTTTCGAAGTTGATGACCAATTTCCGATGTTTATGAATTGCTTCGATATTCAAGTTCGATGTTTAATTGTATTTAAGCATAGAAATGCAAGCGTAGTCGTTTGCTCTGCTTATTTTGAGCTTTATCGCCCAAGTTTGCAAATAGTAACGACGTCAGCGCGTGGCACTATTATCAAACAAACATGGCGCCCAGGTGCCTGCAGTGTACCGGTACCTGCTTTGGCATTATTGCTAATAAATACGTATGTGTATTGTCTATGTAGAGTGTTTGCTTTAAGGCAACCACATTCTTGGATATGTATCAAAATTTGCCCAAAAATAAAGGTGAAAAAAGCTGTAGTGACATCACATGTGATGTTTATCCAAAGACATTTATAGATACGTCTTTGGTTTATCAAATCTATGTAATGAAGTCATTATGATTATATGACCGTCTTTATGAATGTGAAACATCCTCAAATGCATTTGAAGTAATGTTCAACTTATCAACGTTATGTGAAAGTCCTTCAAAAGCCTAATATAAATACAGTTAATAACAGTTTCTCATTTTCTCATGCATTACATCCCAAACACAACTTCAATTAAATGCTTTACTTAATTAAAAATAATTATGTATGTTTTTAGTTAATATTTCATTTTGGACATTTTATGTAAGAAAAAATGTTTGTTTATAACAAGTTTCAGTCAAAAGGGTTTTAGGATGTCTACTGGTCTCTATTCAGTGTGTCTACGTTTTGCTAAAAGTAAGATCAGTAATTTTGATTCAAAATGATTAAATCTAACTGTCCCACCTTTGTGTCACTAGATGTTTATATGCATACATGACACTTTTTTTATGCATAACTTCTTTAATAAGAGAGTATTTAAGGATGTCAGCTTCTTTATTATGAGGAACACAACATTTTGAAGTATATGCTTTCTCCTTCTTTCCAGATAATGAAGAGCTGATGGTGAAACCAAAGACTGAAATGTCATGAAATCATACAATAAGTTCCAGTGTTAAGACCACAAGCCATAGTCAGTCTGCTACAATATATCAACCCTTAAAGAATGCCAAGTCATAAAACTATAAAACATACATTTAGTCCTAAAAATGAAACTTGTAGTGATGAAACTAGAACACCAAGTCCAGAAACTGAAAAGCCTATTGAGAAAAAGCACTTGAGGAGACTGTCGATAGAAAAAAGAGAGAAAATCAAGGCACTTCTTGAAGATGGTACATCTCGAAGGCAGATTTCCAAAATCATGAATGTTGCTCCCTCAGTTATTTCTAGGTTTGCAACACGACTGAAAGAAACGGGTGGAATTGAAGACCGACACAAGATAGGGCGACCTAAGAAATATCATGACCCTACAGAACATTGGACTGACATAGGAGGCGAACGCAAGTATCAGTGCCAACATTGTCAAAAAACTTTTGTACACTTTGTACAAATTCAGGAACATATTCGTGTGCACACAGGAGAGAGGCCATTCAAATGTGACCAGTGTTTCAGGGGGTTTGCCAGATCAAGCACACTGAAACGCCACCTCATCTGTCACTCCAATGAGAGACTTTACATGTGTGACATTTGTGCTAAGTGTTTTGCAGAAGCTTCATCACTAAGGGTTCATGTCCGCACCCACACCGGAGAAAAGCCGTACAGATGTCGATTCTGTGACAAAGGCTGCACTACTGCAGGGAATCTCAATGCCCACATGAGGGTACATCGAGATAAAATCAACGAACAACCTAAAGAGACCATTAATCAAAGCAAGATCCTTGAAGAGAATGTAACTCGTATCAAAGAGGCTGAGGAAAATATGACCCATATCGATATTTCTGAAAAGATTGAAAAGGCAATAAGACAGGAAGAGCGTGAAGAAAAAGGTTATGGCACCGAGGAAGAAGATGTGAACACTGGAGAAGAAAGAAGAGACAATGCAGAAGATTGTCACGGCAGTGCAGAGGTTCAGAGAGAAATGAATAGCTGTGAGTGCAAAATGGTGGATACTTGTGCAGAGAACACGCAACAGGAGAGTTATCCTGGAGATGTGTACCAAGTTGAAATAAAACAGGAACCAGAAGATACGATGGAGGAATGTCAATAGTTGAAGGGTCACAGACATAAAGTTTATTTGATGTTATTACAGTGTAAAGCAGTATCATTCAGATGGAACAAATATTAACCAAATGCATGTTGCTCGGGTGATAGTCTAGCTTTTTTGTTTGTTGTTTAATGTATTTGTTTATCAGCAGTATTCCAACTGTATGATGGTGGCCTGTAAATAATCTATACTGAACCAAACAGTCCAGAGAATGATGTTGTGAGCAATGATCCATGCCATCAGCATACAAGGACATGCTATCAACCAAGTCACAAACCCTGACCATCCGATCCATTTGGTCGCCTCACATCACCCACATGTACTGCTGGGGGCACGGGTGGCCCAGTCGCCTAAGGCGCTGCGATTAACTGTGCAGAGTTGCGTCCTTTGGGCACGCCGGAAACCTATGATCGTGGGTTCGAATCTCTGTTTGCCCTGATTATGTTTCTAGGTTTGTCAGCACCATACCCGTGCTCGTGGGTTTCACCGAAGTGGTAAACGTCTGAGACCTGCATTACTTTGGGCTTTCCTCCCACATAAAGCAGACACGCCGCGATATAACTGGAATACTGTTAAAAGCGGCGTTAAACCCAAGTCACTCGCTCACTCACTCACATGTACTGCTGGGGTTCTGTTCTTACCACACGGGAAGGTTTATTGAGGGGGATGGTGTCTTTTGTTCTGTATATGTCAAGCCAAGCATGGCTTTTTGGTTGTCACTGACGTAATGTTAAGCTTGTCAAATTAGGTGTCTTCTGTTAATTACTTGAAATACAGATCTGCCATATTATGCAATTTACATTCTGAGAACAGACTTCTTATATATTTGTATCTTCCAGCATTATCAGTAGATTATCTTTGCCTCTTGTGAGAGCCGACTTAACTAAAGATCAGAAGACCTGGCTCTGTGACTTGGTTGATAGTGAGTGCTTCAATGATGTACATTGTCAATTGACACACGGGTGATATTTTATATTTTCATTCTTCCAACTATTTCAGTTTGTCAGCGGTAAGAAAGAGTGCCTTGTGTGTAAATGGCACAGCTGACCTGCTTTAGAGTCGGGGAGATTTGTGATATTATTTGGTTATGACGTCATGGTAACCAATCATGTCACAATGGTCTGCAAAGCACTGTGATGCAATGTTATTGTAGGTGATATTGCTTGATCTCACCCAGGCAATATCTCCTTCATCACTATTTGATACCAGGATTCAGTGTCTGTAGTGGACAGTAGCTGTTGTCTTCAACTATATTTATGTTTCAACAAAGATAATCAAGGACCTACCTCATCTGAGACAGCTGACAGCTGGCAATGAATGTGATGAATGTGACTCATTGAAATAAATGTGATTGAACCTATATATATTCTTAATCATGTTAATTGTGTTGAGTCAATATACAAAGACATGACAAAATGACAAGACAATTGTCAAGTAACATGAAATTTAAATGTCTCAAGCATACTACAGACTGTAGGACACCTGCTTCAAGTGAACTACAGACTGCCTGCTTCAAAGAGACTACACACTGCAGGTTACATGCTTCAAGCAGACTACACACTGCAGACTGCCTCCCTCACGCAGACTGCCTCCCTCACGCAGACTACACACTGCAGACTGCCTGCTTCAAGCTGACTACACACTGCAGACTGCCTCCCTCACGCAGACTACACACTGCAGACTGCTCCCTCAAGCAGACTACACACTGCAGACTGCCTCCCTCACGCAGACTGCCTCCCTCACGCAGACTACACACTGCAGACTGCTCCCTCAAGCAGACTACACACTGCAGACTACCTCCCTCAAGCAGACTACACACTGCAGACTGCTCCCTCAAGCAGACTACACACTGCAGACTACCTCCCTCAAGCAGACTACACACTGCAGACTACCTCCCTCAAGCAGACTACACACTGCAGGACACCTGCTTCAAGCAGTCTATACACTGCAGACTGCCTCTGAAGCAGACTACACACTGCAAGACACCTGCTTCAAGCAGTCTATACACTGCAGACTGCCTCCCTGAAGCAGACCACACACTGGAGGACACCTGCTTCAAGCAGTCTCTACACTGCAGACTGCCTCCCTCACGCAGACTAAACACTGGAGGACACCTGCTTCAAGAAGACTACACACTGCAGACTGCCTCTGAAGCAGACTACACACTGCAAGACACCTGCTTCAAGCAGTCCATACACTGCAGACTGCCTCCCTGAAGCAGACCACACACTGCAGACTGCCTCCCTGAAGCAGACTACACACTGCAGACTGCCTCCCGGAAGCAGACTACACACTGGAGGACACCTGCTTCAAGAAGACTACACACTGCAGACTGCCTCCCTGAAGCAGACTACACACTGCAAGACATCTGCTTGAAGAAGACTACACACTGGAGGACACCCGCTTCAAGCAGACTGCACACTGAAGGACACCTGCTTCAAGAAGACTACACACTGGAGGACACCTGCTTCAAGCAGACTACACACTGCAGACTGCCTACCTCAAGCAGACTACACACTGGAGGACACCTGCTTCAAGTAGACTACACACTGGAGGACACCTGCTTCAAGCAGACTACACTCTGCAAGACACCTGCTTCAAGCAGACGACACTCTGCAAGACACCTGCTTCAAGAAGACTACACACTGAAGGACACCTGCTTCAAGCAGACCACACACTGGAGGACACCTGCTTCAAGCAGACTACACACTGCAGACTGCCGACCTCAAGCAGACTACACACTGGAGGACACCTGCTTCCAGTAGACTACACACTGCAAGACACCTGCTTCAAACAGACAATGGAGGACACCTGCATCAAGTAAACTACACAATGGAGGACACCTGCATCAAGGAGACAACACAATCTCACGTTCGGCTATTTCCATCAAGCTGAAGAACAAATATATCCATGGAATTTGAAACAAAGATGGACAATCATTGGCAAGGCTGGCACAGGATTAAAATGGTCTCATCAGAGTCTCTCTTAAGGAGAACTGGAACAGTTCCGATTAGTCTATCGATCTACGGTCAGAAATGTGTTTGACAATAAGAATTTCATAACCAAACCGACCTGTATATCGATGTAAAGGCAAGGCTCATGTTGAAATTTCTATTTTTTAATGTTTGCGTTTCCATGGCAACACGTCGGACTATACGTTTAAATGAGCGTAGGGTTCATTTCCGGAGTTAAACTCGTAAGCTGCTGTGAAACGTTGCATAAAATTCAGACAAGACTGCAGAAATTCAATTTGCTATTCATTTTTATTTCATACATTTCGCGTTCACGAGAATTGGACTTCGTTCGAATGTATAGGGTTCGCTTCTGGACTATTACTCGGATATAAACGGATCACTATATTTCCAAACACTGTACATATTTATATGCAACTGCTAAATTGGTGTCTTTTGCTATTCCAATTCAGAATTTGTTTGTAAATGTTTAGGTATTTTTTACCAATTCACTTTCCACCAATTAAGAACCTCTTATATGAAGGTTCCACTTTTGTATGTTGTAGTTGTATGCCTTCCAGACATCCATCTTTTGGACAGACTCGCTTATTTTTCTTAGCACTTCAGATGAATTGTGAACGTGTCAGTCAATTTCTTGTGAACAGGTCTGTGAAAAAAACCTTTTATGATAGTGTTTTATTCTTGGTAAGTGTTTTGTTCTAAACAACCCTTACAGAATGGTACTTTGCCACCACTGCTACTGTTTTAGCATGTATAAAACACGATGAAAGAGTAGAGACGAATGTTAGGATCTTCCCACAAAACACTCATCAAGAGGATGATACACAACACTTCCAACTGTTTCATGAGCGGTCGGGTAGCCTAGTGGTTAAAGCGTTCTCTCGTCACGCCGAAGACCCGGGTTCGATTCCCGACATGGGTACAATGTGTGAAGCCCATTTCTGGTGTCCCGCGTCGTGAAATTGCTGGAATATTGCTAAAAGCGCCGTAAAGCCATATCCTATCACTTCAACTGTTCATACCTTTGGGTCTGTCCGCACCACACCAGTGCTGGCGGGTTTAACCAAAGCGATAAGCGCCTAAGGCCTGCGTCACTTCAGGCGTTCCTCCCAATCAAGCTGACACGCTGTGATATAACTGGAATACTGTTAAGAGCGACATTAAATTACTGTAAAATCCAACTCACTCACTCACTCACTTATTCATAGATTTGGCATGCCGGAGTCCCATGACCATATGTTCGAATACCAGATTCGCTGTGATTATGTTTCTTGGCTTATCATCTCCTAAGCATCTAAGCATCTAAGACCTAAGGATTTTCTCCCACACAAAGCTAACACAAACACACTGTCGAGAGAGGCTTTCGACCCAATTCACTCGCCAAAGCATTCTTGAACAGAGCTCTGAAGAACACAACAGTTCACTGTAGGATTTTATTACATTTCACTGATACGTGTTTATTACAGGCGCGATGGACTATCATTCACATCAGCTGAAGACGAAGGCTACTATCTGGTACATCTCCAGCGAGGGGAGGGCTACCTGTCTACTACCTGTGAACAGACAGAAATTATGAATAACTTTAACTGTGACACAATCCTGAGTAGATAGCAATCCTACTGACAGCTTTCTCAAAAGTCTGATTATTGCTACAGTATAATCAGATGCGAACTTACCTCCAAAATGTTCATATTCTAACTGCCCCCAACGTGGGGATTCCGGGATAGAATTTGTCCCCAGCAACCTATGTGGGGTGGCTGAAATGTTCTGAACTTAACTACGGAGTATGTGTGGTACTCAAATAACACTTTGCACGTATTAACAGCAGGCGGTATATTTATGCTAGGTATGGGTCCGATCCCATATCAGGACCTGGGTCCCATCCTGGATCCGAATCTTAAGTTCACTCATGTCATGTCAGCACCAGACCCGTGCTCGTGGGTGTCACCTGCATCACTTTGGACCTTCCTGTTACATTCACCCGCCGTTATATACAGGGACAGTATGGATAACTCAGTGCTACTAGTATTGTACGTCTATGTTAAAGGACAGAATATTAGAGTTGGACCTGGCACCCTATCAAATATGTTGTGACACATGCAACGAAATGTGGTAGAATCCACGGCTGTTATATTTCTCACAGTTGTAATGAGTGAGTGAGTAACCTCCCCGTAGTGTGAGAACAGGACCCCGGCAGTACATGTGAGTGAGTGAGTGAGTGAGTTGGGTTTAACGCCGCTTTTACCATTATTCCTGTTATATCACGGCGTGTCAGCTTAATGTGGGAGGAAAGCCCGAAGTGATGCAGGTCTCAGACGTTTACCACTTCGGTGAAACCGACGAGCATGGGTATAGTGCTGACAAACCTAGAAACATAACCGGGGCGAACCGGGATTCGAACCCACAATCACAGGTTTCTGAACAGCGAATCGCGACGCCTTGGACGACTGGGCCACCCACCCGTGACCCCCAGTTGTAATGAATCATAGATGATGATAAAGATCGTATATGCAACTTCTTGGTTTCAAGATACAAAAACAAATGTCGTGTGTTATATACAACAAAGATAAGACAAAGGAGCTTGGAAGACAAGACAGTATTTAATAGTTAATACTGACTTGTAATCGATTTAATAAAATAATAACTAACGTTAAACCATGTCCGAAAGGGCCAAAATGTAAAACTCAATATACGTCCAAATATACGTTTCTCAACGTATAATACAAATCCAAAAGTATCAAATGTCCGAAAGTTTAAAAAAAACGTCCGAAATGTCCCAAAATGGCACAAGCATGTTGTAATAGAGAGGTAGCACGATGTCACTCTACACGTCCAACTTGACACGGAACACTCTCCTCAAGAATCCAGACACACGTGACAGAAAGATTCGAACTGAGGACCGGGTTGGGGTGTCGTCATCATCAAGGCTGATATCGACGAAGTGAGGGAGGGAGAGAAGGACATGTAGAGAGTGACAGAAGATGGAAGTAGAGAAAGAGATTAGTTGTTAAATTGACTGATTAATAGATGATTATGTTAGAAGAACCTTAGAGATTAGGACACGTGGTTACTGCATATATATACCATAACAGTTTCAAAATCAATAGTGTAAGTGTTGGTATGGCCATGTGTTCGTAACAGATTGATTGGCGAAGTCCATATACACACGTGAAATACAAGACACTGTTTTACAATAACTCTAGTACATTACTGATTCCCTGAAACACGCACTTGGCGAGGAGGGGCCCAGATGTCAAAGTTCAAAGGGAACCTGATCACAAGGTCAACAGCTGTAGGGAAAGAAGGAATGAGAGTCTTAAATAAGGATAATTGACACAGGATCAACTGGACAGTATACAGGAGGTCGAAAACGTTTTAAAGTGATCCCGTTGATCCTGATGATCACCTGTCAATTAACATACACATTTAAACGTGAATGGGATGATTATATCACCGGATCAAGTCTGAACACCCTATAGAAATAGGACTGATCATCACCAATACCAACTTCTAAGTAATGTTTTGAAGATTAGTACATGCAGGTTGTTGTAGATATAAATTACACTATCAATGATGATGTAATATAACATCAAATCACACAAACCTTTGATGGATAATCTACACTGTATTAATAGGCAAACTGCTTTGGAACATGTAGAGTTGCATTAGAATTATGTACGATATTTGATGACATAAATATATGAGTGGACTGCTCACTAAAGGTTGGGCTGAATGCAGAAATGTATATAGAATATTGCTGTAGACTGAACGTACAAGCATAAAGCAGTTACGCTAATGTAATTATTTTTGTTCAACAAAAGAAAGTGTTCTTCAGATTTATGCTACTCCTAAGATTTAATCATAATTAGGCCTAGCAGACACAACTTTTTCTTTTCTTTGTTGTTTAACGCTGCTCTCAGCAATATTCAAAATATATTACGACGGTCTGTAAATAAGTGAGTTTGGACCAGACAATCTTGTGATTGACATCATGAGCATCGATCCACGCAATATGGGATACGATGACTAGCATCAACCAAGTCAGCCAGCCTGACAACCCGATCCGTTAGTCGCCTCTTACCACAAGAATGGGTTAGCAGACACAATAGTTTCACAAATTCACACCTCTGATGCTATCAATGGAAGGTTACGCAAAATAGAATGTTACCCTTGTCTAACATCTAGTCCAAAAAATAAATAATAAATTCTAACTAAAAATATATATTTACAAAATAAAATTCAAGTGGAGCCCAGCACAATCTAGACTTGGGTTGGATTTATTGCTTAATGTACTCGCTAGGGTCTGGGAAACTATGAATACATATGGTTTGTTTGTTGCAAAATAACTGTTTATAATAAGACTAAACAGGACAGGCAAACGAATCACTATGAGTTTAGGAAATTATATTGTGTATTGTACTGGTGTATTGTCCTGCTTAATCAAATCACTAACATTTTAGAGAGTTAAAATTTACATCTGACGCTAACCAAGGATCACAAAACCATTCATTTCCGAGAAAATAATCCGCCTTAGACTATCAGTCCTGACAGAACTCAACTGACAAGTCGTTTAGAATACTCAAATTAAAAAAATAACTTTAATACAACGATAAAACATGAATTTGTTGTTTAGTAATAGACGGAAAAGGTCTTAATGAAAGTTAAAAAGATCTTAACATGGGACAAATGTCATATTTGATGGCAGTATACTCGGACCCCATGGTACCGCGGCATTCATCGTATCGCGGCATTTGTGATTTCCGATAGTTCACGCGGGACACGCCTCTTGGCAGCTGTCTATTAATGCAAATCAGTAACCAGGAAGTGCACACTTCGTAAACAATTTCAAATTCCTCGGAATGTTCCGTCTGCTGTAAGTTAGGAGTTATTAATGCGTTGATACATATTTCTGGCATCTTTTGTAATATTGCCTTACCCCCATCTATCAATGGCCAACGATATAACCCGTAGTTCCCAAAGTAAACTTTCTCTATTGACCCGAACTAGATCATCTGCATATTCATGGCGACTAATGAGGTAACGGAAGTTACGTAGTCCGCACAATTTTTCCCGCTCTGTGCCCAGAAACTATTGGGAGATCATAAGGGCCATAATGCCAAACTTAGAAATACGTTCTTCACTAGTAACCAAAAGATAAATACATACTTTGGGCATACTAGGAGTGCTTTTTAAATATTTATTGTTGACTTTTAACATTTTTCCAATTTGTGACAAATTATTGTCATCCAATTTTTTTTAAACAATCTTAAAATGTCATTTCTGATATTTTGATGTTGACTTATAAAAATATTTTTCTCTTACTTTTCGGTAAACACGCATTGAATACCTATTGCTGATAACACATTTAGAATTTGACTTGTGCTGTCTTTGCACTTGTCTGGACAAATCACTGATGTCTGGCATGATCATACCAAGTGGTTGGTAGAATTATGTCCTCTTTTTGTCCAATTCGGACCTCCATACACAACTTTTCTCTGTACCGCGATACGATGGAGTTCTCTCCCTTGTCAAACTGAGCGCGAGGCCCGGCTTTTACTCGGAGCTACTAATGTAAATAATGAACTTTTATCAGTAAAATATGCATTGTTTGATAACATGAATGATATCTGATACAGAGAACACGAATAAACATAAAGGTTAGTGAGTGCATTTTGTTCCGTTTAGCATACATGACAAGTACCGCGATACCCCGAGGTTGCAGGCTATATTCTGGAAGTTTCTTTTCCAAAGGCTTCTCCAGATTTAAATTGTAAATATACTGGAAAGGTCATAAAAGAAAGGGGGAAAAAAGAAATAACTTATTTAGAAACAAAGATATACCTTGGGAGTATGCGCTCATGGTGTTCACAAGCGAAGATGAGCAAAACAGGAGGCAAATAGCAGCAGGAAAGTAGCAGTGTGATAGCAGTATGATAATCACAACAATGGCGATATCAGTAGTGAAACTGTCGTCATGACGACGTCATAAATCTCGCGTGACTGTCATAGCATCACGTGACGTTAACAGTCCGACGGGTTGTCTTCCTGCTCTACGCAAGTCAGGATCCCAGTCATGTTTCCAGTTGTAGGGTGGGTCAATTTTGTTTGTTTCTTGTTTACGCCGCAGTCTGCAATATTTCAGCTGTATGACGGCGGTCAGTAAATAATGGAGTGTGGACCAGACAATCCAGTGATTGACATCACTAGCATCGATCCAAGCAACTGGGATACGATGACATGCAATGAACCAAGTCAGTGAGCCTAACCACCCGATCCATGCATTAAAGTCTCGTAACTTGCAAGTGTCCAATGTTTTACGCTAGTTCGAAACGAGGGAGTTAAATAGAATGTCTGCATATCAGACAAAAAAATAATCTCTCTGAGCATCAAAATCTAATCGCAAATATGCACCAGTATGACGTTAAAAATGTTTGTAACAGAAAAAAAACAAATTAATAAATTGAAACAGTCATTTTGACTACACTGTGTACTCTCCGGTGTATATGTGTGTAAAACTCGACCTTCGTATTAGAAGTTGTGAATTTGAAGGTGGAGTGAACTTGGTAAAACACCCAAACAGAATGAAGCACCTTTTATTATAGTCAGTTAATTCCTTTGCCTCGGGAAGATGCCTTCCGAAGTATCAAGCAAGCCCCATATGCTTATTCGAGGATTTATTTAGTTTGAGTGAGGACACTATCTCATTAAAATCAGATCTTTGTTTTTCGCCATCGCTAAACAAAGATCTGAGGACATCCCATTACGGGTCACGTCAGACCGACCTTGTACGACCTTTGACCGACCAATGGAATGACCAATCAGAAGGCAGCTTTCTCGTGCTTTACGGCACCAATTTCAAATTGGCGACTACGCTTCGAAACATATTTTGACAAATTCACGATTACAAATTTGAAACCTGAACAAAAAACATTCTGGAATGGCTAATCGATGGTCTAGATTGTAAGGATTCACTGATTGGTCGGATGAAAGGTCGTTCTGACGTGACCCTTAATGGGATGTCTTCATATCTTTGCTTAGCGGTAGCGAGAACTAAGGTCTGATTTTAATGAGGTTGAGTGAGGACGCTGCCATTAACAAACACAGGCCATGACGTGCTCAACTGTTTGACCAAGCTAAACCCTCTAATGAGGCCTTTACACAGGGTGGCGACCTTTGTGCCTCGCGTGTGCGACCATAAAATTTGCCAGGTCGTCGTTGGAGGCTCAGAGGAGGCAGAATGGTTGCCTAGGTCGTTCCAAGGTGGTACACAGGAGGTTCAGACATCGCCATTGATGCCATGGTCGCCGTGAACTTTTGAACATGTTCAAAACAGTCGCACAAAGGTCGCTGAGGAGGTTGGTTGCTCAAAGGAGGCAGAAGGGGACACGTGCATTGCCGTTGTTGCAGAATGAAGGTACAGTGGTCGCCCAATGGTCGCCAGGTAATAGATGCGCTCTGCAGCCAATTTTTCCGTTAGTCCTGGGCAGTGCTTCTGCCTCCCTTGTGCCTCCTTTGGGCGACCAACAGCGTGCATTGAACGATGACTGGCGACCGCCGTGCCTCCATTCGGCGACCACGGCAACCCTGGCAATGCCTCTTTTTTGCCTCCTTTGAGCTACCTGTAGTGCCTCCTCAGCCTGCCTATGAATAGAGAGCTTGTACCTGCAGTGTTTCATTGTGGTTACAGACGCTGAACAACTCGAGCAGTTACTGCAAAACAACTGCTGGACCAGTTACATAGATACAAGATTTTCTGGGTTCAGGCGACCATTGAGCGTCCTGGCCAGTTTTTGATCGTTCAAAGGTAGCTTTTAATATGTTTCAGGGTGTAAAATACATGATTTTCCATTGACGAAACAAAACGTCTCAGACCCGTAGCGTGTGTTCGTCTCTTGCACATTCACTGCTCTGCTACAATAAGGCAAACATAATATATCAGGGAAGTGCTCAACTGATGTCCTTTTCTAGTCAGGATATTGGTTCAAACTTGGCGTTTCCGGGGCAAAGAAATTCGACCTTGTTCAAATGTTATCAGGGTTCGTTTTGGAACATTATCCATTAACGGTTCATAACTAGTGATGCTTTATTAAAACCAATGTTGAACCTTGTGTTTTTCTGGATTTTTTTAACGGTTTTGCACTACGCTGGCAGACATTTCAAGTGAGAGTAGGTTTATGTCCAGTGCCGAACTGATAAACGTTTTTAGTGTTTTTTTAGTGATATGAATCAATTATTTCATTGTGAGAACTGTGTCTTGTTTCAACAACTTTCTGTATTGCGTCAGCCGGATTTGCACACACGTCATGGCGCATTTCGCATAGATATCCACCTTGTGTATGAGGTGGTTGCTACTGTTTGGGTAATATTAACAAATTCACTTAACATTCCACCGATTTTGACAGCCTCTTATATGTTTGTTTGTTTTACGCCGCACTCAGCAATATTCCAGCTATATGACGGCGGTCTGTAAATAATCGAGTCTGGACCAGACAATTCAGTGATTGACAACATGAACATCGATTTACGCAATTGGGATCGATGACATGCATCAACCAAGTCAGCCAGCCTGACCATCCGATCCCGTTAGTCGCCTCTTACGACAAGCATAGTCGCCTGTTATTGGCAAGCATGGGTTGCTGAAGACCTGTTCTAACCAGGATCTTCATGGGCCGCCTCTTAGATGAACGTCCAGTGATATTAAGCTACCTAACAGTGTTGTCCAAAATGAAGGGACTGTTCCCATTATGTTTATTGGTTTATTTCATTTGTGGGGCTTTCGTAATTTTGCCGTGGTTTTATATCAACGCACAAGAGTAAATTGTTAACATTAGAGTTTATAAGATTCGTTTACGTTTGTGTTCAATGTGGAATACTGCGTACAACCATCGCGGTATACAGACAACGTCTAACAAGGCGCTTGACTATGATAATTATAGTTCGGTTTCTATGTTTCAGTATAAAGAGACCGCCTCTGTGGTCTAGTGGAAGAGCGTGCGCCCGGAGTGCACAAGGTCCGGGTTCGATCACCGGCCAAAAGACGTTAAAAGATGGTACTTCTTGTTACCCTGTCTTATGTTCAGCATTAAGGGGCTAAAACTAGGACTGGTCGGCTTGGAGTCAGTATACTGTCTGAGTGGGGAATTCATGTTAAACTGCGGCATGGTATATCAGCGGGCAGCTGGAGGCGGTTTGATGCTAACAGACCAAACATGTCACAACATGGGCGAATTTTGATCAAACTTAAGGGACGCAACTCCGCACAGCACATTTCGGTGTTTTCATCCTGTTTCGGATCGTTGACGTGTGATTCCTGTTACGTTTGTTGGCATATGCAAGTAACCAGAATGTGTCACCGTTGAGTGAGTGAGTGAGTGAGTGAGTGAGTTGGGTTTAACGCCGCTTTTAACAGTATTCCAGTCATATCACGGCGTGTCAGCTTAATGTGGGAGGAAAGCCCGAAGTGATGCAGGTCTCAGACGTTTACCACTTCGGTGAAACCCACGAGCACGGGTATGATGCTGACAAACCTAGAAACATAATCGGGGCAAACCGGGATTCGAACCCACAATCATAGGTTTCTGGCGTGCCTAAGGGACGCAACTCTGCACAGCGAATCGCGTCGCCTTAGACGACTGGGCCACCCGTGCCCCGTGTCACCGTGGAGGGCACGTGCAGTGTGATAAGTCTGAGCCAGTTTGAGACACCTTCAGTAACTGTCTTGTGCAACAAAACTGGCCATTTCATTCTTATAGCCAAAATGATAGGGGCTCCCTAAAATATTGTTCCTCCAACATAATAATCATTCCTATTGGATTCACTGGGGACGAGTAATAAAAACGAGTAAGTCAATGCTATAAAATAGTTTATTCCCTATTATATACAGCAATTATATACCCTGCGGCTACATAGCACCTTATGCTGAGGTGAGTGACACAGTGATAGGCACACCAACACCTCAGAATACACCCCATACATCAAAGACAACAGTTCATTCACACGATGAACCCTTACTGGTTCCCATAACAAGGTGTTCATATATCACGGCAAACATATTGTAATTAACATATACGGAAGACCTTTTTTTTATCTGGATTATAGATTTGTCAGGGTAGACTGAAATTGGAATATATTTTTGCCCCAACATGTAGAAATAAAGAAACATTTCATAGTTCTTGGAATGACAAGTAGTGAGTTTCTTCCCCTCTGACATTAACCTACTTTGAAGCATTTATATTACAGAAATATTTTAAAACACTTGATAAAAACCTCTCCCTAAAATGATAATTAGATTCCGCATTTCCGAAAACTTGGTTTGGCAGATCTGTAGACCAATTAATAAAGAAATAGTGCAATACCTTAACAAACAATGAACTGTGAGGCTCTCCAAGGCTGCATAAAAAATGTTTCTTGGGCACATTTAAAAAATGAAAGAGAGGGAAAAACACTCTTTACTTTTCCCCCACCAAGAATATCAACACACACACTAGGCAAGAATGGAAAACAGCATCTGTTTAATTTGATTCAGGAAATTTGAATTTATTGTCAATAAGGACTGACCCGCATGCTGATGCCCAATAAACATTTGTTATTTTTTTAGCCTATAGTGAATAAAAGCATAAAATCACAAGGGTGCGCTAATCCGTAAGTCCGATGTGGTAGGAGTTGTCTTTGAAAACCAACATGAAAATAGTGTGCACAGAAACTGGTACATCGCAAGCATCAGATCCTGTCTACAACTTCATTCTAACATTGGGGCACCATGGCCTGTTTGGTCTTCGTGGTAACAGATGTCCATAGATTGTTGTTTAACACCACACTCAGCAATATTCGAGCTACATGACATTGAGGCTGTTAATCGAGTCTGGACGAAGACAACCCAGTGATTGACATCATGGGCAACCATCCATGCAATTGGGATAGATACGATCCAAATCAGAGAGTTTGACCACCCGA